AGCAGCAGCAGGAGGAGTAGGAGTAGAAGTACGAGGAGTAGGAGTATAGGAGAAGTAGGAGTAGGAGCAGTCGCAGTCCTAGTCGTAAAAGTAGTCGTAGTAACAGTAGTAGTAGCAGCAGCAGCAGTAGTAGTAGTAGCAGTAGTAGTACTAGTAGTAGTAGTAGTAGTAGTAGTAGGTGTAGTAGTAGCAGTAGTAGTAGTAGTAGTAGTAGTAGTAGTAGTAGAAGTAGAAGTAGTAGTAGTAGTAGTAGTAGTAGTAGTAATGGCGGTTATGTTTGACTCACATTGTCGAATGTCTATAGAATATGGTGCCCGTAATGTCTTGTGTATAACATTACTGTTTATCAGAACAAATAGGAAGAGCAAGAATAGTATTGGATAGTAGGGGCAATCATAACGAAAGTTCGGCATGAACACACTAATAACGACTAGTACTAATAACAAGAGTAGACAGCAAGAACACTCAGAATAGTAACAAGACTACAGTACTACGGTTGATCAACAGTAGTAGTAACGGTAGTAATGTAGGAACCTGATTAATAAACCCTGGTCCTACAACTCCAAAATATTAGGATCCATTTTAGGAGCCCTAGTCAAGATATATTAGTCATCATGTGGTATTGAGGCCCCTGAAGCAGACTCTGCTTTTGGCCTTGCTGGTGGTGCTTTGCCTGGCTGCGGGGCTGACGGTGAGGCGGCGGATGCGATCCGGCCGCTGGGAGCTCCCGCTCTACCAGTCCTAGCCTAGGGAGTTTGGTGCATGCACGGTTTAGGGTCTCGGGTGTGTAGGGTTTAGAGTTTGGGGGTTTAGAGTTTGGGGGTTTAGGGTTTAGGCCGAGTTGGTGCGAGACCAGCGCGCCCTTCAGGGTGCGGGAAGCCTGTACAGCTCGCGAGCGGTCTGCTGCGGACCTGAATAGGGTTTTAAGCTCCTGGGTCTTGGATGGAATGCATGTTTCGCATCACGATGTTATCCTCGCCGTTGGTATGAGCATTCACCAGAACCATGCATTGCTATTCGTCTTATCATTCTTCGCATGACCATTCAATTTTTAATTTCTTGCTCTTCGTCTACTTCTAGCTGCTGTTGCATTTTTTACTACCGCCATTACTGCCCGTACTGTCAATTGGTGTTCTATCCTGATGCCCCTGGAGCAGTGCAGAAGGGGAGTGCCAACCGCGGCTGATGCCCCATCGAAGTTTCATGGGTAGTTATGAAAGGTGTTCAGAGCATCATAAGGGGGTTTCAATGTTTGGAACTACCCATGAACCCTCAACGATGGCTCCACATGTCCATATCTCTGTCTCACACTCTATTGACTGGTTGTGTTCAGCGACAGAACGAGCCATTTTTGAAAAAGGCATGCAGCACAGGTGCCACGCTGAATGCAAGCCAGTCAAAAAGCGACTCTTACTCAGAGCATGGGCATCCCAGGCAGCAAACGAGTGAGGACCGCTAACGCTCGCCCTTTCCTTTCTGAATAGGCCTCAAGCAACCGATGCATGGACGAAGGCGTTCCTTTGCCGCTTCTATGATCAGGCTGCCATCCCAGACCTGAAACTCGCAAAGCCCGCAATACCGCCATGGCCGTCCATCCTGGACATGTTGCAGAGTCAGCCGTGGCCAGTCCAGGTTTAGTCTTTTCCGTTTGTAGCACTGAGTCGGTGTCGACCCCATCTTATGCCATCTTTAGATCTGTCTGCGTAATGTGTCGCTGTAGGCCAAGGAGATCCATAGCGGCATCCTGAGTTTGCTAGGCTGTCACCCCCCAACCCCGTCTCAACCGCGGGCACCTCCGAACCTTTCCGTTTGGATGCGCCCAGGTGGTGCCCGGAGACCTTCATGTCGTCGCTTGGCACATCTTGGAAAGGGCCAGTGCCAGACCCTGGTCAGTTGAGTTGCCCTTGTGGACCCCAAGCCCAAGCCTAGTACGTAGAGCCAGCACCCTAAACCCTAAACCCTAAACCCTAAACCCTAAACTCTAAACCCTAAACCCCAAGCCCAAGCTAGCAGTGGTGAGGTCTGGGGCTTGATCAAGTCCATGCAATTCAAGTTCTTCAAGCAGGTCGTGCAGGCCAAGTGTGAGGAAGGCAGCGGATCTTGAAGTTTTTTGCTCAAGCCTTGCAGGGCTCGATCTGGTTTCTGGAGGGTGCGGTGCCATTCTGCTGGAAGCGTACAGTTACAAGTTTCGGGGTTGTGCTGGTGCATCGCTAACGTGGAAGTGGTGTAGAATCTGGGGTCTTTGCAGGGAGCGATGTGGGCGCCTTGGGTCAGCATACTATCGCGTACACGGACAACACGGTGCAGACGATGCGCATTACGGAGATCTCGGAACGGCTGCCGCTGAAACGCAGCATTGGCATGGATCCCTGGAGGTGATTTCATCAAGTTAAGACTGTCAGACACTTTACCTTTCGCATGCCCTTGCTCGTACTTAGCCTGGAAATCTCGGCTTGCACCGGAGCTGTATGTTGGAGCTCCGAAGAACGCGTAAGGAAATGGTATCCTCGGATCCTCCGGTAGAATACTCTGCCCGCAACGACACCATCTCGCTCAGTGCCATCACGCATGGCGACCGCCCTGCAGTGCATCTTGGCCATTGACAGTTGAACCTTCATACAGTGATCCTAGCCATCTGTGCTGGACAAGGCGAACTGCTAGCAGCATTAAGCTCGACCACCAGGCAGTGAAACCTCAACTTCAGATAGCGCCCGAGCATGAAGATGGGTGCGCAAGCTCAATCGTCCGGCCAGGGTCGTCTGGAGGAAGTCTTGCTTAATGACCGTCAGTCTCGAAGAGAACAGCATCGATGCACTGAGCGAATCCCCTCGTTTTGCCGTGCAGCTTATGCGTGCGAAGTATTTACCTGACAATGCTCGTTTCGAGCTGACGTCCCAGTCGCTACTTGTAGCGCACGGTCCCCCAACATGATGCTGCTTCTGCTCACCGTGTGCCACATGTGCTTGGCATTGCGTGTCGAAGTATTCAGGGCTTCGCACTTCTCCACACATTGTCGGAAGAGCATTCTCCAGCACAGACCCTGTTCCGGCAGGCTTTCAAAACAGATTTCTTGTGGCTTGTCTTGTCACGGCGCATGGCCACGGATCGCACGACAGAGAACTGCCAAGGTATGTGGAATATACCTCTGACTTCTCGTCTGATGCTACGACCGCAGTTCTGGAGGACTCGAAATTCAAGAAGCGCGAGTTCTTCGACGATTTGGTTGCGTTCAGTGGCAGCGCCGGCAGTGCCGCTGCGTGAAGCTGTGGTAGTGGATGGCACCCGACCATGGTGTTTTAATCATAAGAGCGGAACTTTCTCACCACTCTCCACAAGAGTTTTGAGGGTGGCTCGGGACAGTCATTGCTTCGGCATGATAGCTTCATCATGGTGGGACAGGCATGATGCACAGCCATTGGTGTTTGTGCAGCAAGCTTGAACTCGTTCGTCTGCATCAGGCCTGAGCATCATTGAGGCATCATGTGGCTTTCAAAGCACAGCAGCGCACAGACTAAGCAAGGATCCGATCAAAACATGCTGCTTGGGTTTCATGCCCTCAGCTTCGCACGTTGACATGATACGGCAAAGTCCCACCACGAGTCGGGGGGACTGCTCGGTAAGCCGCTATCTGTTGCTCGTCCGAGATCTGGCTCCAACTCCGAAGAAGTGAAGCTTTCACATGGCTCCCAATTCTTGTCCACGCACTATCCACGACCGTGAACGGCACTTGCGGGTTGACTGCGAGAGATGTCAGTTAATTGCAGCAAGGCACTCCACCTTACTCGCCCCTACTACACTCATCGCCACATGCTACCCTTCAGCCCAACTCAGCCCTCAGCCCTCTATACCCTGGCTAGCGGTTGCCAACACGTGCACCTGCGGACCTCGGCTGCCATCTAAAGATGTACGAGGTGCCTTCGGTGCCTGAATCGGGTCATATTGTTTCGGCTGCAGAACTGCTTTACTCCAAACCCACGGGCTTTCGGCTCGATCATGACTAGCCGCACGAGTGACAGGCCTCTAGCAGTACGTGATGGGGATCACCGCCGCGAGCCGAGAGACAGCCTTTGCCGGTGCTCTTCAGTGCTTATGGCTTTGGATCTTGAGAGTGGCTGCAACGACTTCCAGTAGCAAGGGTCACACAGAAGCCTTGAGCATCTGGGAAGCTTCAACATGTCATGGTAAGCATGAAAGACTGCGTGTAGCATTAGGTACCTCAGAAGCCTCCCACTAGAGTGGGACGGTGGAATCCTTGCCTTGCCGATGCGACAGTGAGACCCGAGAAGCACCCCAAGAGTCTTTACGCGATCAGGCATCCTCAGCCGGCGAGAACGTGTGCGGACCCTACTCGGGATTCCTCGGGTCCAGGTTCTTCAACTCTGAAGTTTTGATCTGTGATGGCTCGTAAATACGTGGTCGGCGCCCAGACCCGACAGTACACTCCAGCCGTGTGGCGGCGTTGACATGGATGGCAAGACATGTGGGAGACGCGGGTTTCATCTCATGCAGCATGTCAGATGTGTTCGTCTGCGATCTGGGTTTGCGGTTTTGACGCTTTGGCCCATGCGGAGCCTTGAACCAAGGGGCGAAGGCCAGCAACTTCCGGACGACAGAGAAAAGGCCTCGAGCTCGAGTGGCCCGCCGCACTGCCTCGCGCTGGCGAGCGATGACTTTGAGCAAAAGGCCACGCGGTGGTACGTGGAGCATGAGGTTCTGCATAAGCTGAAACGCAATATGGAGCAAGAGAGTCTTGCAGCAAGGGATCTATAATTTATGCAGCAAGCTCATGTTGATACATCCACCTGTGGACTGCTACGTGGCCTAATGCTGTTTCCCGGTGGTCGGCAGAGGGCTTGACTCTTATGGATCGTTGCGGCCAGGTGGGTATGGGACTCTTGCTGTGCTTTTGAAACCTCTCAACCTCCTAAACCCTAAACCCTAAAAGCCAGCCGGGCGCAGGTAGAACAGCCGCCCACGTCGTCGGTGACACTGTCCGGGGCCCGGCATGAACATGGCAGAGATCCGAACCCTGAAACCCTGAAGCCCTAAA